TATGGGCTAGGTATTTCTATACATATTCAAATCAAAAATCAACATCAAAACACAATTTTCGTTTCCGATGCGGTGCCGACCAAAGCCACCTTTCCGACACACTCACTCCACATAACATAAATAACTAAATGAAATGCGTGTCTGCGTGTTAACAGGTCCAAGACAAATATAGACAATGGGGGTTTAATTTTTTTTACTTCAAGACAAATGCGCCAGGTTGTTTTGGACGAACGTGTGACATATTTATTATTTTCATCAGAGATAATTTATACCGGGTTGTTTTGAGTAAAAATCCAATTTTCAAGATTAGATTTTCCTCAAAGGGAGACATGGCGTCGTAGCTTACATAGAAACAAATTTTTGTTTTATGCTAAATAAAATAAATTAAGAACTCTCAATGACTTGTATGAAGCCAATTCGTTATGTTAAAAAATGAATTGTTTCGAAACAAGACAATTAAAGAAGAAAAATAATGTCTCTTTACAGGGTGAAACACTGCGTTAAACTAAAAATAAATATTTCACTTCATGACAAATTGTTTTAAGGTAAAACAAAATGTTCAAGAAAGGAAAGAGTTTTCTTTGTAGACAAAAATTTTTACCGTGTAAGTAATTGATATGTACATTCCCTGGTATATTAAAAGATTTGGTGTTCCATTTAAATTAATCAAGTTATAGCCACTTAAAATGGGGAAGTTATTTATAATTATATTATACAAAATATTTTTAAATTCTACTGTAAATTTCGATGGCATAATTTAAATATTTCTAATGTATTTGAGAAATTATTTTTATTTATTTAAACAACTTCAAGATTTGGTTGTCAAAAACCTTATTGAGACATACACTTATATTGATCGTAAAATGCAAAAAAATATGCAACTTTGAAACTTTTAGGATAATCTGTATAGTATGAAGGTAAATTTACAAGGTATATGATATAGTATAACCCTGGATATTTATATGTATATGAAGTAAGTAAAAAATTGGACGGTCCTAGAAGTATAAAAAGAGGCGTTTTATATTTCAAAAAAATGCATCTATGACTGACCATCTTTTTATCATTAAAAAAGCTTTTACTATTTTAGGGTTAAGTGCGAGCAAACCACGCGTATCGATACGTTTTAAACCTTTATATGTATTTTAACTGTTTCGTTAACTTTTTGTGTATTATGTGTGTGAGTGCCGTATACAAATCATTTTTTGTTGGACTTTTATCTTTTATCAGGGGCACTTTGACAAAACCAAACGCTTTTAAAGTATAGAACTTCCATATCATGCTACCTCTCCAATTTTAAGATTTGTGTTTGCTCTTTTTTCTGAAGAAGGTCATAGAAGACCGAAACTTCAATATATGTACAAAAATTTTAATCGCTTTTAATATAAAGACCTAGAACCCAAAAACCAAAAGCTATATAAATTTAGGCTATTTTTTTTATATTTAATTATTTGGGTTTTGTTTGTTTTCTATACTACTTCGCACAACAACCTGAATTTAGTTGTTATTTCCATTTTTTTTGCCGGCTGGTGCGAAATTCTAAAAGCGTTGCCAAACTCTTACCGCCATCTTAGCGCAAAACCATTCCACGTACTATTTAGGTATATAACGAGCTAGTTTTTAAAATTGAAACGACCATCGTTCAATCTTGTGGTTTTCACCAATAGGAAAACTAAACAAACAGAACTGGTTTGGAAATACGAAACGACTGTAAAGCAAATTAAATATAACGAAGCAAAAAAAAACGATTGTGCTGCTGCCCGCTACCGCAGTCCATTTTGTAATAATATAACGTGAGAATGGTTTTAAATAAAACGGTATTGTAAGAGATTACATTTTACCACAGAGGCGTTACCCACAAAGGGTTGATCATAAATTAATTCGTATACTTAATGTAGGTACGTTTTTGTTACCATTTTCTTAGATTTAATAATAATTAAATAATCAAATAATAATGATTATAATTATTTAATTACAATTAATAAAATCAGAAAACGCCACTTAAAAAGATGCGAAAACTACTACGTAAACTATAATTTATATAATATATAATGTAAATTGTAGAATAAAAAACAAAAAAAAATCCTTAGAACCAAGTCGAAGGATGGAAAAGGAAATACTATATGGACCAAACAAATCATAGTACTAGACCTCTCACTTGCAAGCAGATGAATAAATAATCAGAAGATAATTTATAACTTTTTGAAATTAATTGCTAACAAAAATTGACGAAACTCGCGTTGAAAACAAAGGTTAGTCGACGCATCGCTTATTGCCGTGTTAAAATCGAGGTCAGTTTGCTCTGCGCTACTGACTGAAGCGAACAACATATTTCCCAAGAGTCAGCGCATAGGTATAACTTGTATACAGCATCCATTTATTCTATAATTTTTTATCGGCCCTCGCACAAAATTGAATCCGAAAAAACAAATCGTGCAGAGATAATGGCTACGCCATCATATTTTAGTCCAAGTTCCAATGTGTTTTTGACATGTTATTGGTTATCGAAACATGTAGGTATTCGGGGGTAAGATACCTAATATAGTGAATAACATAATAATCAATACATTACAAACAAAATTATAATAATATCATGGATTTATCGGGTCTATTTATGGACATACTTTTGGAAGCGTTTTTCGTCAAATGTGTGGAACAGTACAGATCATAGCGATACTTTAATGCCCACGAAAAGGATATTTCATTTTTCTAATTGACAAAGCTTACATAAATTTATATCAGAATGATTTCTGAATATGTTATTACAAAGAAAAATGTATATGACAATTAGAACAACGAAAATTTTTGTGTTTGTTTCAGAAGTACATATTTTAGTTCACCAACAAGATTTTCATTACATTATAAATTAATTAATGTTTAACCAGACAATTCCGCATACCATAATATAATGTAGTGCATAGAAGTAATTTTATATTAAAGAAGTAAAAGAAATGTAAATTAAATGTATAATTATTTAAACTATCACTCGAACTAGTCCAACTTTTATCTACCTCCTCAATAACAAAAACATAATAAAATTTAATTATATGTTTAGTTAAATATTTTATAAATATTAATATTTATAAATTATAATGGCAATGTCGTACTACTGATAAGCTACCCCCTATCACAAAAACATTACAATTAAAATCAAAAACAAAAGAACAAACTATAAAAATTTTCCATTATTTTGAAAATTGTCGATAACATAATTATTTATGAAAATTTCTGGTTGGGATAAAACGCCTATTAAAGGGAACTTCTTCAACACAAATGCAGTGGCGTACTCATATTTTCACCTCTATTCTTTAGTGAATTTTGTGTTCTGTCATTCACATATAAGTTCGAACTATATTTAGCATTTTAAAATGTATAAAATTGCGAAACGAAATAAAGCGCCGAAAAGAAAAACGCAAGATATTTACATTAAAATAGCAATCTAATTATGTCCAAGATAAATCCTAACTAATAATAACTTATTTTACTTTCAGATTAAGTTTTATTATTGTGTACTCTAAAACATAATTATTTCAAAATATATATAGGGTTTGTCACTTGGTGTTTTTATCTTTGCATATATAACCAATAGCAATATATATTTCGTTTTATATAACTATATTTATTCACTATTTTTGTTCACAATATATGTATTTCTATTTTTTGGTTTCCTGGTTAGTGCTCCTATTTTCTGCATTAGTGCAGTAGAGTACTGGAGTAAATTCCCAAATTTCAAAAAAAAAGTTGACTAAATAAGAAATTTATTTTCTATGGAGCGCGAGCATTGAAGATGCCAAGTGAGATTTTGGCGAAACGTCTGCAGGATTCCAGTCGGATGCAAGATTTGCAGGATTCCAGTCGGATGCAGGATTCCAGTCGGAGTTCAACGAGCGAACGGATGATATCCCGGAATATAGTGTCATCATATATATATATATATATATATATATATATATATATATATATATATATATATATATATATATATATATATATATATATATATATATATATATATATATATATATATATATATATATATATATATATATATATATATATATATATATATATATATATATATATATATATATATATATATATATATATATATATATATATATATATATATATATATATATATAGGTATTGCGTCTCTCAGTGATATAGCTTTTATCCACATTGATATACTATACGTTTTCTTTGATGACAAAGCTTCGATCATTTTCCATTACAAAATACGCGAGAATTTTTAAAGCTAATGATAATTCAAATCTGAGTAAAAATGAAGAATGAAGAATCCGAAATTTCAATAAATAAAAACATTAACGGCAATTTTCAAAATTGTGGAAAAATTGGAAAGCGCCCTATATATCTCGATATTTTCGAGATCTAGGCATATTTTGAGAAAATACTGTAACAATGCGGCATCCAAACTTGTTGTCAATCCATCAACAATTTTTTTTTCATAGCTGCTTCATAAGTTCCTGTATTATCGGCATAGACAGGGCCTCTATCTCTCAACTCGGTATTTATATGGGTTTTACACGAGGTGTCAGTCTATTTTGCTCTACATCTAATAATACCTTTCTACTGTTAACCGACCACTCCGTACATAATTAAAACATTCTTTAATAACTTATTTTTGATTCTTAGAGGGAAGAGAAGCCATATCTTCGTTTCGACAACCACTCTCCAATACCCTGACGTCCGATAGGTGTCTGCGCGTTGTCGAGTCGGGTAACGCCCCCTCCAACAGGCGGTGGGCGTGGTTTACAAATTACCTCGCCAACAGCTCGACGAGTGACGAAATTAACAGCTCACGGACGAGTCAGTGTGAATTTGACAGTCGCGTTGAAATTCGACTGGTCGGCCGGTCGTGCGTCCTGCCGGTCGTGCGTCCTGTTGGTTTTTTCCAGAGCCGCCGTCGATCGAGTTGATACGTAAACAACAAGCGGGTTTTTGCGGGGCTCTTTGGTGTGGCGGACGGTGCGGGGGCGCGCGAGTACACGTTCCGTTAAAAGTGGCGACAGAAATGACCGTTACCGGAAATTTTGGGATAATGCACAGACCTTGTTTTTCGGGATACCCGTTTCAAGGTGCGTATAATTGCACACGCTATTTCCTTGAATTTTCGTGATAAATTGGACGCGCCGGGAAGTTTCGACGCGTGCGGATGTTTCTTTTTCTGTTTTAGAAAGTTTTTAGTATAAATTAGTAGGCATAGATATCACTATTTTTTGTAAATGCTTTGGGGTCGGGAAGTATTCGAAAAAAATAAAAAATCGCTTATGCAAGGGTCCACAAAAAACATCATTTTTCAAGAAAATTTTTGAACCAGGAGACGCAGAAGATACGGTCCCATAAACTTTTATTCGTGGCAATTTTTCAAAAATCAAATTTTACCAAGTATTTTTTAAAATTTTGTTGATTTTTTTTTGGTAATTTTCGCTTCCAGAAAAATATGTTTTCCTCCATAAATGTTCATCCGATTGGCAAAATTCTTTAACCGGCAGACGCAGAAGATCCAGTGCAATAACATTTATTTCAGGTGTTTTTTCCACTATATACAGGGTTTTCAAATTATAGGCAAAAATCTAAAAGCCCTAGAAAATTGTTCCTTTACAGAATAAATTGTTAACCGCAAATCAAATATCGTAAAAAATATGGCTAATATGGCTACAATTTTTGTATTTGCGGTTTTCGTGTATCATATACGCTGCTCGGGATATGTGAAAAAATCCATTTTAAAATCGCTATTTCGGGGGCTCAGTCAAGACGCGATGACGTCATTGATTAATACGGCGCACCGCATGGTTTGTGGACGAGGAAACGTGGAAGATCCATTGCTATAACCTTCATTTGCGGAATTTTTTCAATTATGTATAGGGTGTGTCAATTATGGGTAAAAAAATCTAAAAGACCATGAAAATTGCCGTTTTAGTGAATACATTATTAGCCTTAAATGAAAAACTATCAAACATGGAATAATTTAGTCTAAACAGTCTCGAATATTGTGTCAAGAGAGAGAGTTTCAGATTTCGTCTATCATACAGGGTGCGCAAGGTACTTGGAATATTATAATTGGAAATCGTTATTATTTGTACAATTTTTTATATTTATCAAAGTTTGTCGTGACTTTTAAATTTGGCGATAAGTAAAAAACGCTTTATACAGGGTGTGTACACAATATAATTACATCGATTTTGCGAAAGTTCCATAGTGGCCCACAGGAGCGTGGTAGAAAGACAATGCCGACAAGACACCGCGAAGCGCCACCTTTTTAAAATAAAAAGCTGCATCGCGTCACGCGCTGCGAACTTGCCCCGCCCAGTGACGATTTTTCGCAAGCAATCTTGTTTTTTTAGTTTTTCATAATAAATTTTAAAACATGGTTGGTATGGGTATATTAAGGTGGGTCAAAACAAACGATTTTTTTTGGATCTGACACACACTAGTTAGCTCTAGAAAGTACTTACCACGTGTAAGCTCTTAATTTAAATAGAAAGATCATCCTCATCATAGTTTTGCATTTTTGATTTAGTTTCATATATATACAATTATATACAATTTTATTGACAATTTTTATAGGAAATGTAATGATCTACAAAATTGGCCTGTTACCACTTTTTCGATAAATCGAACAATTTGAAAGATATTCGAGGTCAAAGATTGAAAAATTAACAGAAAAATAACTTTTTATTGAAATGTTTTCAATCATTCTTGTGGGAAACTAAATGCTCTACAAAAAAGGTTTCTTGTGTGTGTGTGTGTTTTTTTTTAATCAACCCCTTGAGAAATATTCAATTTTGAACCGCAATTGTGATTAAAGTAAAACTATAAAGGAAAATATCGTTCACGATAATTATTTTCCAGTCAATAACAAAATTCAGAACAAAAAGTTATTTATTAAAAAAGTTTGAGACCATTTTTGTAGAGCGTTTAGTTTCTTATAATATAAAATAAAATTATCAATGAAATTGACTTAATGATTATAAGATGATTATATGATGATGATAAGATGATTAAGTAAGATAAATCGAAAATGAAAAGCAATAATGAGGATAATCTTCCCATTAATAAACATTAAGAGCTCGTACGTGGCAAGTACTTTTTAGAGATAACTACGAACTAGTTTCTCTGTGTCAGATTTTTTGTTTGACATAGGTATATTTTTTTACCAACCAACCATGTGGGGGGGATCCAATTAAAAAAATATATTTTAGAAAATTAATTGAGTTTCGTTTATTATTTTGTACCAACATTTTTCAATAATTTCTAAACAATTACATTTTAAAAATATTTTATTTAAACAGTGTACCTCAAATAAAAACACAACAAATAAGCAAGGCAAAACAAATATACAATTTTTCTACAACCGAGCGAAAAGTAGACTTTTTTTTACTTTGCCGCTAGCTGAGCGATAAAGAATACCACTCGCTTAGTGCAAAGTGATGCGCACGTTTTTTGAATTTCATTACTAGTTACGTACTATTATTTTTACTAAATTTTCTAAAAACGCGGGCTGTAGAAAAATTCCTGCGCGATAGATTGCCGCCCTGAGCGAGAAGTTTGGCCATCTAATACTCAAATAGCTATTTTATATAAAATTATTTAACAATTAAATAGTTAGATAATAAATGTTTGATTAAATTAGTAGTATTTTGTATTCAATAAAAAGAAGTGAAAACAGGCCACTAATTTTTTTATCTTGTTGTGCATTGCTGTTGATTTTTTTTTGCTCTGAGACGGTGAAAAAAATGCAGGAAACAAAAAAAATCTATACAAAACTTAAAACAACAATCCGATGTTTTCTGAAATATTACCCACTTGGCTTGGTAAACTTTGCCGTCTACCACACTTCTTATTAATTTTGGTTTTTGGATTTTGTTTTCATAAATATTAAAAAAGAAAATTTAATTTTTTTACCTTCTTGCAGCATTAAAAAACAATTTTTAAATGCACGGATTGGTTTAAGTAAATGAATCCGCGTCTAGCGTAATTTTATAAATAAAATGAAATATACTTCTGAAAAAATGTGGTAAGATATTTTAGATTCTAGAAAAAAAAGTTTGGTGCAAAAATTCTAGGGCCCCAATCAGGTTGCATGTTTTTGAACTCAGGGTAAAAGAATATTTTTAAAAAAATAATATGCCGCTTTTTTAGTATGTATAATTAAATCCTCCTTTTATATTAAACTTTTGAAATATGTGCCATTTAAGTTCACCCTAAGCTTTGACCGGCTGTACGCTAGTTATTACTTAGCAATGGTGTTATTATAAGGATAAAATTTTTATTAAACATTCCCAAGAGTCAAAGCAAATATTATTACTATTAATATATCTTTTATTTTATCTATGGCCTTACTGTAAACTTCCAATACCGTAAAAATAAAAATTACCGGAATAATCGGCGAAAACCGAGGTAAAAACTGTTTTCTGTATATTTTTCGTTAACTTTGCTACCGCAAGCTATTTGAAATTGCTCACGGAAAAACTGTTAATTTTGAAACGGTTAAATAGTTATTTGTCCTCAAAGCAATACGATCTGATCCTAATAATAATAGTTCACAAATAATTTAGTTTATAACGTTATAAATAGTAATATACGCATACGCCATATTCGAAGATTTTTTTACGCAAAATTTATAATATTGGGCAAATTATTTTAAATTATTTATTTATTAAGAAAAATTCGCATTGCTATTATGCGTCCTATTCTATTGTGATATTGTGATATTTGCCTCGAGGACTTTCGTGTCTTCAACAACTCCTGCGAAACATCATCATTTTATTTATTCTTTTTATTCCTTAAAGTGACGCACCTCCGTTATTTTCTGTTTCTTTTGCCATTAAAAAACAATACATCCAAAAAACTTTTGTTTTTTTTTGCGACCGGATTACCGAAGCGCTTACAGCAGCGCACGCGTTGTATCCGTGAGAATTTCTCACGAATCGAAACAGTTTCCTCGAAAGAAAAAAACGTCCCAAAAAGACGGATTCGGTTTCGACACATTTTTTGTGCCACTTTCCTGTGCTTTTGGCCGTGTCGGTTGCGAAAAATTTATACGATTGCGCAAAATCCGCGCCCGCAGGTATAACCTTAAAGAATTTTTGACTTTTTTTGCGGTTTTATTGTTGCGGTTAAAACAAAACCGTAGGCGGTATAGGTAGGTGTGACGTAGATATACGGGAAAATATAACGAATAAAACTAATACCTGCTAATTCGTGCGACAATTTAGGTTTCTCTTTCGGTTTCAAAACGACAAATTGTCGCAACGCAACCAATTGCGTGGGTACAGAGAAACAGAGAAAAAAATTCATTCGAAATATATCATCGAGTCAAGACATGATATACGGAAATATGGGGGAATCCTCAGAGCTAGCAGTCTTCTATTGCATGGGGAGAAGTGAGTGAATGATATAAATAATTATCGTCTAATATCTATTATCCCCACAATCGGTAAAATTATTGAAAAGATTCTATTCTCAATTAGCAGCTTACTTCGAGGACAACCGTTTGTTGTTGTCTCCAGTTTGGGTTTAGAGGTGGTACATCGAATTATTGAGCGATTAGTAGAGTTCATTATCAGGTTTACGCAGCTTTTGAAAGCAGAAAGTACTCCGGCACAGTCCAATGCGATCTTTCGAAAGCATTTGACTGTGTCCGGCATCCTATTCTGCTGAGTAAATTGCAGATGTATGGTGTGGATCCCACATCGGTTGGATTCCTTCAAAGTTATCTTTTCAACAGGAGGCAGATCGTAGAGTTGTTGAACATGGAGTACCCCAAGGATCCATTATGGGCCCTCTTCTATTCTTGATATATATAAACGATCTCGCTGAGCATGTTGCTGAATAGTTTGTACATTCTTCGCTGATGATACCACCTTTTCTTGTCGAAGTCATTCTGAGAACGACTTGGTGCACAGGATGGAGGGGGCTAGTGAGTGGTTTCGTGCTAACAAACTTATCCTCAATGAATCAAAAACACAACAAATTATATTTTCTTTACGCGAGTCAACGTTCAACAATCCATTACATGTGAACTGTCTTGGGGTTCTGCTTGATCCGAAATTGACGCTCGAGCAGCATATTA